CCTGGAAGTAGGTTTTAATTTTTTTAAAGATTTTTTTGTCTATTTTTAGTGTAGACGTAATAAACAGGTAATTTGTAAGAAGAAAGTTTTGTAATAACATATTTGCTTAAGCAATTTATTTTAAAAAATAATTTGTTGTTGATTTATTAAAAAACCCCTCGACCGATTTCGATAAATTTTAAACTGGAAAATTTACCTGGGAAGTATATATACCCTTCGAAACAAAAAATCCAAATCGGTTCAGGTGTCTTTGAGTAATCAGTGAAAATACATTAAAAAAATATTCCAACGAATTGAGAACCTCCTCCTTTTTGGAAGTCGGTTAATAAGATCTAGGTACATAGACAAACCGCGCAGTTCCTAATTCCACGTACATTTTTGTTTTAATACAAAAAAGAAAAAATAACATAGCTTGGTCATAATCTTTATGAGTAATTATCTTTATTTATTTCTATTTGCGATTTATACCTAGTACCTACAGCATATCTGCAATAAAAATATTCTAATTACTATATTCCTATTTTGAATTATATGACTCTTTTAACCTATTAGCACTACTCACACTAAATTCTATCTGAGTCGAATCTGTACATTAAATATTTTTTGGAAAATCTTGTCTATCTTATCTATGAAATAGTCATTATTATCGATAGAGTGGCTGTATCTATAATTTTAGAATTTCTGTCTGTCTGGGAACGTATCAGGAGAAAATCACTGCACAGATTTTGATGAAATTTGATATGATAATATAAAACTTACGAAGTAATGTAAAAAAAAAGTTTTTCCAACTTATACCCTCCTCTCCTTTCCTCTCCAAAACCACACGTGCTGGTCGGAAATTCCATCCTCACACGGTACTACCCATACCTTCTCGTACTAAAAGGTTTGGCAGCTCTTACCTGTGCCGCACTATTAGGAAATGGAACTCATTACCGTCTCACGTGTTTCCCTCTTCCTATAATCCTGGGTCGTTTAAACGGAGCTTGAAAAAGCACATTTGCAGGCCGACGAGGTGAGGTTGATCGGAATCGAGATCAAGTCCCGGAACCGATGGATCTCATTCTGGATTCCACTGATGCTTTCCATCAGGCGTCATGGAGTCATCTTGTCGAGCGACAATAAAAAAAATAAAAAAAATATGTTTTATTAGAGCCTATGAGAAATGGAATCGCAATTTATTATATTAATTGACTTTAAATAAGTAATTATCCTAGAACATCATTATTTCGCTACTTTCAAGTGTGACTTGTCATATTTACATATTATATTGGCTTCACCAATAAATTGTTGTTGATTACGGAGATATTTAAAATTTAAATAATATAGTAGTGGACGGGTAAGATCCTGTAAAATAATGAAAATTTCTATAGTATATTCTGCATTTATAATTTAGATAAAATATACCGATCATGATTAATATAATGCCGATATTACAACAAAGTTTCTTATCTTGCTTGTACATTTATATTTATTTGTAGCTTTTCATACCGGTTTCTTTGCTACGAATACTTAATTGCAAGGCACGTATGTACTATATCCTAACAGTATCAATTCATTTAGTAAAAAACGGACATCAATTTTTATGCTAAAACACAATGAACAGGGTCTAATACGAATAGTTAAACTACATAAAATGTATGTTTAATTGAGATAGTATACATATTTTTCTTCTATACTTAGTATTATTATACAACTTTATTCCTTTACAATTACATACAACTTTTGCCTTTGTGTTTTTTTTGAGCTCGGACACAGTGAGCTACCACTGTTCCTGATTTAGAGCTCACTAGCTTTGAAAACAGAGCTAAGCGTAAACCAACCCTGTGTCTCGCACCTCTAAGATTTTCAAGTGTGAATTTTATTTTGAACATTATTACTTACTAGCATTGCCCGCGGCTCCGCCCAAATTTAGATGACCAAAAAGCAAATTCTTAGGTTTACATATTAGTATACTCTTACATTGCAGTTTTTGTATTTTTTCTCAGAAATGAGACATTTCCCCGCGGTAAAAAGTATTCTATATGTTGACCCAAAATAATCAGCTATCGCCATACCAAATTTCATCAAAATCCCTCCAGTGATTTTTCTGTGATGCGGTAACAGACAGACAGACAAAAATTCTAAAAACTATAGATTCGGCCTCTGTATCGATAATAATGTCTCTTTCAATAAGATTTTCCAAAAAATATATAATGTACAGATTCGGCTTGGTTACAATTTTATTATATGTACAGATAATACTGTGAAGATCTACATGTTTGAATCCTAACTTGTTTTGAGTAGACTATGGCCCTCGCATTGTGCGGCAGCTCTTACAAAGCAGTGGGCCGTTAAAGGGTCTGAATTGTTTATTATTATGACCTCGTTACAAATGATGTCTAGAAACGTTGACATCTAAAGGAAAACGTAACGAATTCCAAACAAGCCACGTGTGAAAGTGTCGTGAGGGTCGATTGTAATGTAAGCAAATAAGCCGCATGTTATTCTAATACGAGTATGATCATTAAAGTGAAATATAAACTTTACAATGTCACGAGGGCACTACATACTTATGCTGTTTTTATTGTGTTAGACTTTTAAAAAAATGTAAATATGCTATAATAATAATTTCCACTACAATTCAAAATTGAGATTTTTGTATAGATTATATTAATTGAAATATAAGTTTTTTTTTTCGAATTAGTGTTGAAGAATTTTCATTGACATTATTAACTTGAATAAACTAGCTGTTAAGGTGCAATGTTCAAGATAAATTATAATCGTAATTTTAAAATATTTAAATTGCCTAGAGCACGAACTGCCTTTTGTCCTGATTAATACTGCTTGTAAATATCAATGATATTTAAGAAAGTAACATTTTTATCACTTATATTGTCCTTGTATTATTTAAATCAAGCTTTTAAATATACATGATAAATCGTCATAAAATATTGCATAGATAATAATTGTAAGGCTTTGCTATGATGAAATTTTGCCACTTGTACTGGTTACATACATATATTTATATATTTTAAAAATGTTTACCTACTTAGAATATGCAAAAGGATAAAAAGTTTGTATGTATATCATATATATTATATATATTATTGTTTGTATATATATCTGTGTGTTTGCTCTTGCTCAAAGATGATTGGTTTTAGTGATTTTTTTGATGAATAGATTAAAGTCCGGGTGAAAAATTAACTAAATATTTAATTACAATTGTTAGAGTAGATTCTACATAACTCTCTTTTCATTTCTCTTTTTTATTCGTTGATATATACGTTTCATAAGAAAATACAATTTATTTAATGTTATTTTGGGGCTTTTGCGGATTTTTTTGTTATATACTAGCGACTTACCGTCGCATCGCTCGGGTGTGTTCCCTAGGTGCGTTTTATTTTTTTTAGCGGAACCCTAATTCTTTTTGTAAAATAAAAGTAGCCTAAGTTACTCCTTATAAAGGTTATATATTATAAAGCTCCGTCAAAATCAGTTTAGCCGTCTCGAAGATTAGCGGAACAAACCGACAGACATGCAGGCAGATTAAGAGAAAAAAAATTAAAAAAATGTGTTTTTTTATAAGTACCAATAATTTCATATGCATTTAGTAAAAAGCTTTTATTTTGACATTACAAACAGAAACTTCAATTTTATTTATCTGTATATACTATAGATAAACGTCGCACGTCGTCGTTATAAATAAAGTCTCTCTAATATATTTTTTTAATTTTAATAACGAAACCAAATCCTCATTTTAAAGTTTTAAATTTTTTTAAGTTATATATTATATTATATATATACATAAAATGCTTTGTCCTGACTGACTGATCGATCAACGCACAGCCTAAACCGCTGGTCGTAGAAACGTGAAATTTGGAGGGCCTTAAATACAAAGCAGGCATCCACTAAGCAAGGATTTTTCGAAATTTATCCCTTAATAGGGTAAAAGCGGTTTGTGCTGTTTATATTAGGAAATCATTTCAATCAATTTTTTCAAAAAAAAAATTTTGATCATCACAATCATCATTTATAATCAGAATTACTTGAAACTTGGTTTTAATGCTCTTCAATACGGTTAAATAAACATGTTTTTATAATTCAGCCCCTCAATGTTTGTTTTGGGTGGTGAAGTTGAAATTAGTTAAATTTAAACAGAGTAATATGGCTCAAGTTCTCGGTTGGCCACAGCAGTGACAATTATAAAATACCTAGAGCGCGATCCTGCCATCTATGTATCCTTCTTTTAAAGGTTGGCACACCTGTAATACAAAAATCACCATCATCAAATCAGTATGTTTGTTGGATGTACTTAGGAGTAATCGATATACATACCTATCACCTATTAATATATCTCAGAACCCGTCGCTAAAAGACACAGACTTAAGAGAAGATTGCTTCTCACAGGGACAGGGTTGGTTTTTTAGCGTAGACTTAAGTCAAGTGAATCTGGAGTGATTACATAAATGAACACACAATATTACAAATTCAATATGATTCGATAAAAGTGAGCAAATTTATTTATCTACGCGAGCGTCGCCGCGGCCAAAAAGCTATAGAAAAATAAGAATGGCTCTTTATACAGTATGTCCCAGGAAAGACTGTCAAGCAGTGGCCCAGAGGTAGAGCACCCCTTGGGCTACCCGAATCACCCCCATGTATGTTCTGCGAATTTTCGTAGTTTAGAAGTTATGTTTTTTTTGTGATTTTTCTCTTATTTAAGAGTTGCAAGACAATTCTAAGCATATTGAAGTGAATAATTCAGATAAAGCCTTGATTTTTTTTTATGTTAAGCGAATAGTTAGGCCTCTTCAATACAAAGATAATTTACTTCGCAACCCATACACTTCCTCATAAAATAAAAAATAAACATAACATAAAAGGAAATAAAGAAAAAATACCAGTACTTTTAAGAGTGTTTGAAAAAAAGTCACATAATTTTTCAACCTTATGTATTTTAAAAACTTCCTTGTTTCATCAGCTATTTAGTCTGTTATCGAGCTATCTCTATGGCGACCTACCTAATTTTCTAACGTGATACGGATGATAATCCTCTTGCTGAAGTATGCGATGAGCTAACGATTTAGAGATTCCAGTTCTGCGTTCAATGCCCCTGACACTAACACTTGGGTCTCTTTCCACTTCTTCGACCACTGCGTCTACCAAATACGGGTCACGCATTGTTGCACGTCCCGGGATAGTCCCTGGTACTCGACATTCCCTTTAAATATAACGCAGATGTTAATATGTTAGTTAAAAGGCCCATATTAGCCGAGTTATATGATTCTAAAGTCGTAAACATTGTTTGTGAGTTGTATCATTATACTCTCTTACTCTAAGTTTGGAAAGATGGAATAGAGAAATGTGCAAAAATACAGGCAGTGGAACTTGTTAAATACCTAAAATGAAAATTTATTTACAGAATAAACCTACGTTTAACATCTTTTAAGATAAAATACGATGGCTAAAATTAAATTAGTTTTCCACATAGCTTTAATAAATAATAATAAGAAACACGGAGTTATTTTTTGCAAGTAATAAAGTATGTATTGCGAAAAAGAGTTTTTTATCGTAGATTAATCGCGGGCGAAGCCATGAGTTCTGCTAGTGTATGTATAAAGTAAGATCAAAATTCTATGACATAGAAATTTTTGAATTTTCTTATATTATTTCTTTATTTATTCTTATAGCAGATTATATATGTAGGTACACCGTACATGCTATCACATTTCAAGTATATTATCATAATAATTTGTTGCTATTATTATATTGGCTTAGATTTTATGATCTTATTTAAATTTTATTGACCATTAAAATTTTAATAGCCATAACAACTAACATAGGAAGTGCCATTGTATTTTATGAAAAAAAAAAAACATAATATGAGATTTAGCTAAAGCCCAAACCTGTGTTGTGTTAAAAGAAGTAGAATTTTTTAATTATATGAAGTGCTCCGTCCGAAGAGATTAGCAACCTAGATATTATTTACACATGTAGTAACCCATAGATGTCACCACTCCTACACTAAGTTGAAAGAAAAAAAAATTACCGTCTTTTTTGTGGGTACTTTGTTCAGTTATGTATCGCGAGTCATTTCGTTTAGTAAATTTCTAGGTTACTAATCTCGAGAACGAGGCGCAAGTGTAATATATTATTAAAATATTTTATACTACTAGCATTGCCATTGCCCGCGGCTCCGCCCACGTTCAGATGATCAAAAATCAAATTCTTAGGTTTTACTAATATTAGTTATACTCTTAGATTGCAGTTTTTATATTTTTCTCAGAAATGAGATATTTTCCCGCGGTAAAAAGTATCCTATATGTTGACCCGGATAACCAGCTATCACCATACTAAATTTCATGAAAATCCCTCCAGTGGTTTTTCTGTGATGCGGTAACAGATAGACAGTCAGACGAACAAAAATTCTAAAAACTATAGATTCGGCCTCTGTGTTGATAATAATGTCTATTTCAATAAGATTTTCCAAAAAAAATATATTGAATGTACCTACAGATTCGGCTTAGTTACAATTTTATTATATGTATAGACTAGACTATAAAACTTAAATGTCGTAACAATTTCTCTGTTGTTGTAAATTTAACATATAATCTTTATTTACTCGTATAACGATAAAAAATCTAGCTCGTAAATACAACAAATCTCTCATACCTAACTATAAATATACAAAGTTGACTGCGATACTTAGTAAGTACAATATGACACCATAAATTAAAATTTCAATAGAAAAAGGTGAGATTAAAAAGTATACCTTGTATGTATTTGATGATTTCTTTAAATTAATATGTAATTGTGATTTTTATATTACAATTTAGTACTTATTTAGATTTCAAATATTTACGTTGCAAAATATATATTATATCAATTGAAATTATAAAAATACATATATATATATATATATATATATATATATATATATATATATATATATACATATTGCTTGTTATACAGCAAGTCAATAGAACACGTAGGAATCTCATCAATAGTAAATCCAACCAAAGAAATAGCATTAAAATATGTTATGGGCAACATTGTTTTCGCAATCGATGAAGGCTTTAATGCTCTGATACTTTTACAAAAGTCATTGACCAATTCGTATATTAAAAATAATATATTAGCTTCACACGGGTTTATTCGGTACAAGGTTTTTATAGATACTTCGAAAGATGGATGCCGAATAATTTAGTGAAGCAGATCTGAATTCGTTAATAAACTTCTCTAACATACATACATATATGTACATTTATTAAAATAATACATTATTGCAAAAGCTAATATTAGGTATGTACCTATGTATGAAAATAAATAATTTTTGCTACAATTAAAGTACAAGTAGATAATCAAATTTAAGCTTGTAATGATTGCTTTACTGGATAAAGATTAGTCTGACAATGGATTGAGACCCTGGGAAGGATATAGTATAGTTTTTATCCCGGAAATCATCCCTTAAAGGGGCGAAAAGAGGGGTGAAAGATTGTATGGGGAATCAATAATTTTTCTAGTAAGGGATATAAAACTCATCACACCTATAGGTATAGTATATTTATTCCATATTAACTGTTGAAACGTACCTACGGACGGACCAGAGCAACGCGAGTGTGAGTCGCTTGTTGGTAATCATTTTCTTTTTATAATACACGTTTTTGTAGTAGTACTTTGTTGGGTTTAAAATAAAATAAAATATTTATACGAGCATACTTTAAGTGTCCAAGCAGTAAATATTTTATTCAAATCGATTTTTGATATTTTATCATTTTTTTTAAATTATATTTTTTACTTACCCACTTATTGCAAAAACACATTTCTTGTCAAATTTAATAAACAAGTTTTAATATTGTTCTAAATGGTTTAATTATTGCAATTATATAAAATTTTCCAGAATACCTATCTTTAAAGTTTCTTTTTAGTCTGCAATTGAAATGGGTTTTCAAAATAATGTATTTTGTGTTTTTCGTTAAAAAAAAGTTTTGACTTTTGCTCAGCATACGCGCAATGCGCATTTGCATTATTATTTAGCTATGAATAAATAACATATAGGTAATTATTAAGAAGTCATTAATATACATGACCATATAGGTATAATAAAATACAGATTTACTTCGTTACTTTAATAAGATATTGCAACTTATTTATATTATAAACGTGTTCAAGAGCAATGACTCTATGAGACATGCAAATAAATGCAATAATATCACTGAGGCTCGACAATTATCTATATTGTAAATAATACTTCTAAGGTCTCTAGACTATTACTTACTTAATGTAAGGACCAGTTATTTATTTATTTTCCAATATAATTAAAATCATGTAAGTATACTATGTATAGGCAGTGGTAGCCAAGTGGTGACGCGCTCGCTTGGGAAACCGAGTGAAGCAGGTTCAAATCCCGGGTCTCGCACCTCTGATATTTTCATGTGCGAATCATTTCTAACATGATTACCACTTCCCTTACGGTGAAGGAAAACATCATGAGGAAACCTGCATGTCTAAGAGAACCTAGCAAGTTTTCGAAAGACATGTGAAGTCCGCCAACCCGCACTTGGCCAGCGTGGTGGTTTATGGCCTGATTCCCCGTTAAAAAAATAAAATAAAGGGGCTGAATACAAGTATACTTTTGAATATAAAAATAAATAAAATATAACTTTATGCGGCGTACAAAATATAAGTATCTTACGGCACAAAATATGTAAATCAAAGAAACCTCTCTCTTTGGGGTAGGGACATTGCCCTTGGAGTATTACTCAAGATTATGGCTCTCATAAGATCGACGACATTGAACTTCCAATCGTTACTAAATTCGCTTGGAAGTGCACGAATTTTGCGGTGGCTTGTCGCAACCTGTGCCATCTAAGCTTATTACTTTGTTTTGAAAGAGCATTTGAATGAGATTTGCGATTCAATCTCGCTCATATAATTATACAAGTTAATTATTTTAATAGGAATTATAAAATGCCATGAGTCAAATTCCATGAAGAATAGAAATGTGTTGTGGGACTACCTGTTTATAATAATGAACATTGCGAAAAACTTGTACCAGTAATTATAATAGGCAGTTCATTAATTGTTCTACTGGTTTCTATAGTATTATGAGAAAGATATTATTGATCTGAACAATCACTACATACTTATCGTTGATTCATCGTACTTACCGATGAAATAAGTATTTAAATATTTATGATATTTAACTTTTTACATAAAATGATGCTGCTTAAATGCTTATTGGAAACAGATTATCGATTTTGTTATTATGGTGATTATAAAAAGTGTGATTCATGGTAGTGTCGTGCGCGTTCCAGCTATATTTTAGCCATTTAAATAACTCTACATGTGACTTTTGTAATAACTGTACTTTAATTTTGAAAATTGACAATCACCACACAAACAACTGACATTATTTCATTTGGTTTATTTTTTTTTGTTTCTTTAACTAAATTAAAAAGAAATGCGAAATGTTTTTTTAAGAAATGTCTTTACACATTTTATATTAAGAACAGGGCCATTATTGATATTAAATATAGGAATATTCGTTCGCTCGTGAACGGAATGATGGCTGTTCGACATTGTATCACATATTAATTACCAGGGCTACTTTAGTTTAAGGTCACAAGCCGTCGCACCGGCCCGGTCGCACCGCTCGGCACGCTAAAGCCGGTCAAAGCTGGACAACACGTGTGTTAGGCAATATGCAAGTCGCCAATCCCACGAGTAGACTTTAACATTCCTCATGAGTTTCATGGTTTTGTATTACTATCACTCTTCGTCTAACTCTTAAGTGTCTATCTGTCTAAGCTTAATATTACCTATTGGATATGATTAACAAATTACAAAACAAAATAAACGAATGCACAGGTAAAGATATATGTTAAAGCGAAAAGATTAAAGTTAAAGCTTAAAGAGTAAAAGATAAGGGGAATTCCAAACAAGTAACATGTAGGGTTTTTTGACCGCCTTCTTTGTTTGTTTTGTGTCTGTTCCTTAATGTCAATTGTGGACCGATTTTTATTTGGTAGGTATACAAACTCTAGTTAAAAAGTAATTACTGTTTTGTTTCATCTTAAAACCGATAATATAGACACGTTCATCATCGCGGGGTTATAATTATAATAGAAACTACTTTTTCAACTAAAAAGACAATAGGTAAGTAATATTAATTGGCCAAG